CCCCCCCCCCCCCCCCAATAGAATTTAATGACGTTCTCCTGAAAATTGCTACTCAACTGTCAATGAAATTTCAATTTTTTGAGCAGTGTAATAAGAGTTCAGCAACATTCTGTTTTTTTCGTGTCCGACAAATCAACAATTGATGAATTCCAATGAATTTGGAAATTTATTGTACAAGTAAAACATTACAATAAAGTCAATTCTGAATTTAATGAAGATATGACAATAGTCGCCTGAAAGTTCAGTATTTTCAAGTAATTTCATTATTATATCAAACTCAAATTAGAATTTTTATTGAATTTCCATAAAATCGACTGATGCTTTAGGACCAAAATCTATTGAATTTTAACGTACGTCACTTGACATTAAATATTCGAACAATTTTTAATCGGAATTCTGTAAGATTTGGTGGGTGTAGCTTTTAACATCAGCGGTAATCATAATTTTTCCATGATTCTTTTTCAGGGTCGTGAAAACAAAAATTCATCATGCAATCGCTCATCACTTTGGTGTTGATGTTGGAAAGATTTATCTGACTAAACCCACATTCTTCTCACGAATGACCAATGTGTCTGCTAAGACCATTCACGATGAGTACTGGCTGCCTCATGTTGATAGAGTAATAACAATTGAATAATGAAATTTTTTCCAAACTAGTGTATTGTATTGACTGAAAATCGATTAATATTCTCAGGAATCATACGAACACTTCCATTACACGTCCCTTCTTTACCTCAACGACTACGAGAGGGACTTCCAAGGTGGAAAATTCATCTTCATCGACAAGAATAATGTTAACTCCACAGTGGAGCCACGAAAAGGTTAACAAAATTGATTAGTCGAGTGACAACTCTATTAAGACAACACTTAATTTTAGGAGAAAATCTACTGATAAAAATTTCTCAAGACTTTTCGTACCTCATACAGGAAATTCTCAATGAAACATTCCGTTTGATATTCTCTCTTGTAGCAACTCATCATCCAGATAATTAGAATGTGCCAGACAATTTTTTTCTCAAATAAAATTATGAAACAAGAAGTTTCTATGAAAAATATTAAATACGTAATTTTTCATTTTTTTAAATCAAGGGGCTACAGCTAACTGAAGAAATACTTGCACTGTAATGTCACTATGTGATGTTTTGCATTAAAACGTCACAGAAATTGTAATTCAGTAGCGAAGCGGTAAAACAGTTTAATTCAATTTTCACTACACTGAGTGAAAAACGACCAAGTTCTCAAACAAGTCTTACTTGTGTCAAGAGAATAGTTTTTTGAAAATGATCAAAAAAGGATTTTTTTGTACCAAACATGCAGAGAGTGCGCCGGAATGAAAAATTTTTGTCACAAAAAGAGATTTAGTAGTTAAAAAAAATTGCATTCTCTGTACACACAAGAAATGTCATTTCCAGCACTACTCCTTCGTTATTCGGTACTCCCATACGTATTTTGCTCCCGAAAAATCTTTTTTTTATGCGGAACAAGGGATAGTAGTTTTTCGGTTCGGCTGTCTAATAATCACAGACAAGAAATGAACCCCTAAATGGAACAATAATAATGATATGATAGCAATCTTGCAACTTAGGGATAGAATATTTGTTGATAAATTTTCCACTATATGAGATATTTTCATCCTGGAAAGGCACCGTCTGGTGTAAATCATCCGCCTCTTGAGCCAAATATTTCGTTGCTGTCGAAACCAGAACAATTATTCATGTTTGAGACTTTCAAATTCAAACCAAAGTCTTTTTTAACCATTTTCAACTAGCGATTTTGTTGGCCCAAACAAGACTTGTTTGACAACGTGTTTGTTTTTCTCTGTGTATGGATCATCGGGAGTAAAAAATACGTGACTAATATTTTTCATCCAATTTTCATATCCAGCAATATAAAAATCTCATGCAAAACCCCAATTCCATATTTATTCATTCATTCTGAATCCACATTAAGACTCTTTCGATGACACTTTTTGCCTCCAGGACGAGTTCTAATGTTCACCTCTGGCTCTGAGAATCTCCACGCGGTGGAACGAGTAACTTCTGGTACAAGATACGCACTGACAGTCTCATTCACCTGCAACACCGAAGCAGCAATATCAGATCCTACATTTGGAAAGTCTGTCAAGCACCCCTGAGCACATTTGTCCGCTCGACTCGATCAGTATTATGAGCAGAATAAGGTGCAGATGATCTAGATATAATACTCAGTATTGCCATCCATCCAGTCCATTCTAAATAATAAAAAGAAACAGTCGTTTTGTTGAATTGATTTCGTATGTTGTCGACCAAATCCACGTCTCCATTCAAATTGTCCAATGGAGCATTTCACAGAAATTCTGGTCTTGCGTAAGGAAAATTTATGTAATTCCTTTTCATCCAACTGTTTTATAGGAAAAAATTGAGATTACTAAAAATCTTCCTGATGGATTTGATCCTATTGAAAGAAGTAGAATTCATTATCATTGGTACTATGTACTATTTTATTTTATACTTCCACAAGCCCCTTCTCTCCAAAATAATAGTAACAATCAAAGAATGAAGAAATTATGAGAAAAATCTCCTTGAGCCTCACCTTCCATAAAATAAAGACATATGGTTATCCAATGTCAGAAGGATAAAAAAGAAAATGAAGATGATTTCATTCGGAATGACTTTTATTACTTTCAATACAACCTTACGATATTAGATTAGCCATAGTATATTGATAATTTGAAGTCTTGTTTTTTCTTTTAATTCCACTTACTGGGTATACAATGCATATTGATTATGTATTTATGCACATTAATTAACTCAGTTGAAGTACACATCATATACAATAATAAAAGATAAAATGACAATGTGGAATGTATATGAAAAGTGGGTGAAAGAATAAAAAGAAAATATCTGCCTAAATTCTGTTAATTTAACGAAATGACTTATTCCTCCTTCAAATGATCAATAAGAAATAAATATATTAATTGCATTATTTTTTATTCACCTACATTGGGTACCTATTCATACAGCTTAACAATGTGAACTCTGTCCACCAAGTTCCCATTCAAAAACCGTATAAATATTCTTGGTATCTCATTCCATTTGTTCGTTATTCATTAATTATTAAATCTATTTAATTATCAATATTACCTATCTTAAAATCATGCTCTCTCAATAAGACAAATGAAAATTTACATGGAATTGCTGTACCATTCCCTAATGTTCATTTGTGGCGACAAATTTTTATCAATTGAAAAAAAATATATATCTTTTCTATAAAAGTATTCATCAAATTTCACAGAAATTGTGAAAATATTTCATTCACCTTAAAATAACTGAAAGAATACTAAAAATCTACATTCCCTTATTGCCTAGCTCACTTGTGCATAAGAATTATATTCGTATTAATTCCATTATCCTACCTACTTCCTCAAGCTCCTCAATTTCAACAAGAATTTGTTGCCATCAATGAAAAATAGAAAATTCCTCATTAAGTTTTCCATTAACATTTTATATACAAAAGAAATAATCATCACGAGAGACGAAAAGAATTGTCTTTCTAATTAAACTTGAATTTTGGAATCGTGTGCCATGCAGTCCCTCATTAATTTATCTACTTTCTTGGTATGCGGTTTAAACGTTCAGGATTTCTGCGATGATCTTGGCATTCTCGCCAGCGAGAATTGTCCTGTGGTTTCCAGATAACTCTTCAATATTGACATTCTGGGAGCAATGCTGAAATAGAGAAGTAAAATCCAAAAATTATAATCGATAGATGAGAAAAAATTTTCAATAAGAAGAAATAAAGGTTTCTATATTCTCCCAGGGCTATTATTTGGTCACCTCAGATGTTTGTTAGTAATAATAATAATAATTAAAATAGATCATATTTCACTCTTGATAGACTCTTGGGACTTTCAAAATGATAAAAATGTAACATTTGCTTAGTAGCCAAAATCGACTCAAACCGTTTTGCCGTTCCGCTACTGAAATAAAAATGCGAAACTTAAAAAATACCCCACTCAAGTTCGAATCCGTACGCCCCGGAATTTTTTAATTTGAGTATTATTAGTTCATTATTTATTTGACTCATATGGAGGCCATGAAAATGAATAGATAGCATATAGCATGCCTCTTGCAATATAATTTATACTTTACAAGCATCTGAGGTGACCGAATTGTAGCCCTGGGTAAGAGTAGAAATTCAATGAATCGGTCAAGTACAGAAATTTGGAATAAACATTCTCAATAATATAACTACCTCTGATAGATTGTAATCCTGGCCAATTGAGAAGAAATTGTCCGTCGACTTGATGAGTGTGACAGACCCAGCGTATTTTTTAGTTGGTTTGTAGTCATGAGCAGCTAGAATTTTGTAATAAAAGAGCATGCCAGCGACTTTCATGTCCTCACTACTGAATGGCGTTGGGCCAATGAGTTCCGCCATCCTATCCATCATCGCACGATAATCATCGATTTCCTTGAGTGCAATGTAGGCATTCACGAAGCTGATATCGGCATTAAACTGCCTGATGAAGAAAGCCAGAACTTTACGAACGGCATCAGTTTTCAAATCAGTTCCATTTTTGGCCGCCTGCTTTCCAATGACTTGTGTATGAATCTTCACATAATCTGGTGAGCCATCCAGCAGTTTAAGTTGGACATTGTCATTGTAATTTTCAAGCTGAAGTGCCATTTCAAATGCAACACAGGCACCAAACGAATAACCCATGATCGTGTAAGGCCCCTTTGGCTGAATTTTCTTCACTTGTGAAATATAGAATTTCGCTAAATCTGAGATTGACGTGACGGGTGCATCCTTGGTACACTGGAGACCATAAACTGGCCTCTCAACTTCACTCGCTATGAGATTCATTGTCGTAACAATTCCCTCAATGGCGTGAACAAAGAATATTGGCATTCCTGTGTCTTTTTTCGTTTTCAGTTTGATAAGTGCCTCACTTGGAATAATTTCTGATCCACTTATTTGGAAGAGCAGTTGCTCACTAGGACCATTCTCTGGAGAGCTTGGAGACTTGGCAGTTGGTGATGGTGTTCCCTTAGGTGCAATTGAACTAACATGTACATCGTTATCTTCAGCCTTTGAATATTCGAATAATTTTGCAAACGTCAAACTTCGAATTTCAGCGGGAGAGAGTACGATATCGTAATTACGCTCCAGTGTCTGTTTAATCTCTGTTCCCATCAGGGAGTCCATTCCCAAATCAGCTAAGCTATTGCTTGTATTGACGACGCTCACGTCCTTGATGCCGAGGATGTTGGCGACAGCTTGGAGGAGGCCAACTTGGTTGTCACTGTCACCTGGTTTATTTTTGTCAGCTAGAACCATACTAGCGAGCACTGCATGGGGCTGCTGGAGGAAGGTGTCCATAGTGGCGAGACAACTCGACATTCTTTGGGGTAGGGTACCTGGAGAAATACATTCAGGATGATTTTCGTAAAATGGTGGAATTGTAAAGAGAGTTTTATTAGTCAAGTGACAAAATGACTCATTGTGACTCCAATTTGAATCTGATTGAGATAATGACATTCTTCCCAACAAAGAATGTCTCTACAAAAATTTAAGGGGGGACTACTATGAGTTTTAAAAGTCGCGGGCTATTAGCATGAGATTTCTCATGCATTGACGATCGAATATATGTCTAAAAACGAATAGTTAGTGCGAAAAATTAATTGTTTGTTGTCCGTTTGCCCCGCAGACGCTTTAAGGCTTTTTTTTCAAAATTTTTGTAAAAATGTGTACAATAACAATGACGAATTAGTTTTTTGAAATTCGAGTTCGACATAGCTAATTCCGTTTTGTTTAATATAAAAATTTGCGCAATTCATGTAAAATAGGGGAAAAAATTATCCTTAATGAGTCATTATGTCAAGAAATTTCCGTCTCCTTTCTACCCTACTCTCTCTCACTTTATCGTATTGCCGTCAATCATCGGAAGTCATGAAAAGACATCATTTTCAGAATGACAATAAAATGAATTCTGAATTTTTATCAATTTAATGAGTCATTATGTCAAGAAATTTGCGTCTCCTTTTTACTCTACTTTCTCTCATTTTATCGTATTGCCTTCAATCATCGCAAGTCATGAAGAGACATCATCTTCAGAATGACAATAAAATAAATGTTGAATTTTTATCAATTTAATGAGTCATTATGTCAAGAAATTTGCGTCTCCTTTGTACCTTACTCTCTCTCACTTTATCGTATTGCCGTCAATCATCGGAAGTCATGAAAAGACATCATTTTCAGAATGACAATAAAATGAATTCTGAATTTTTATCAATTTAAGGAGTCATTATGTAAAGAAATTTGCGTCACCTTTTTACTCTACTTTCTCTCACTTTATCGTATTGCCGTCAATCATCGGAAGTCATGAAAAGACATCATTTTCAGAATGACAATAAAATGAATTCTGAATTTTTATCAATTTAAGGAGTCATTATGTAAAGAAATTTGCGTCACCTTTTTACTCTACTTTCTCTCACTTTATCGTATTGCCGTCAATCATCGGAAGTCATGAAAAGACATCATTTTCAGAATGACAATAAAATGAATTCTGAATTTTTATCAATTTAAGGAGTCATTATGTAAAGAAATTTGCGTCACCTTTTTACTCTACTTTCTCTCATTTTATCGTATTGCCGTCAATCATCGGAAGTCATGAAAAGACGTCATTTTCAGAATGAAAATAAAATAAATGTTGAATTTTTATCAATTTAATGAGTCATTATGTCAAGAAATTTGCGTCTCCTTTGTACCCTACTCTCTCTCACTTTATCGTATTGCCGTCAATCATCGGAAGTCATGAAAAGACGTCATTTTCAGAATGAAAATAAAATAAATGTTGAATTTTTATCAATTTAATGAGTCATTATGTCAAGAAATTTGCGTCTCCTTTGTACCCTACTCTCTCTCACTTTATCGTATTGCCGTCAATCATCAGAGTCATAAAAAACATCATCTTCAGAATGAGAATAGAAAAAATGTTGTATTTTCCTCTTACCTCCAATTTCAGTATCATTGTCGCCCATTGATTCAGCAACCAGTCCAACATCTCCAATAGCTCCCCACTGGATAGCCAATCCAGGTAGGCCATTAGCCTGCCTCTGCTCAACAATTCTCTCCATGGCTGAATTAGCAAGGCCATAATTAGTCTGGCCAGCGTTACCCCTACCACAGGAAACACTCGAGAAGACGACGAAGTAGTCCAGTGATGGGCACATTTTCCTCGAGACTGCATCCAAATTCTTGGTGGCATCGATCTTGGGTCTAGCTACGGCAACAAACTGGCCCTCCTCCAGATCCTGTATGAGAGCATCGTGGAGAACAGCGGCGAGATTAAATATTCCTCCAACAGGTGCTATTTTGGCAGATTGGGATATCAGCTGCTCAGCTCCCTTTGAATCTGTGGCATCAGCTGTTGAGATTGCGATATTGACACCCATCTTCCTCCAACGGCGAATCGAGACGGATTGGTAACCAGTTCTTATTCCTGATCTTGATGTCAGGACAATGTGTTTGGCCCCTCGTGTGATCAACCAGTTTGCCAGCTCCAGACCAAATCCACCGAGACCACCAACGAGAATGTAACTCTTGTCTGGATTCATGTATGTCCTGGGGATAGCTTTCACTGTTTTGAGGGCTGGCTTGGCGATACCTCGTGACTCCTCATCCCTTTTTAACATAAAAATATTTTTTTAGTATTCAAATTCTCCATTCACCAAAGAAATAATATTTTATACCAAAGTTACAACATTGAGTTCATTTTTTTTATTGAATTCATTCTTTATTTGTGATTATTGAATGGCTGGAACGAAAAGCCCTATTATTGCCCCTTATGTCACATAAAAGGAATATTCTTCGATAAAAAACGTATGAGGATAATCAAGAAGTGGGGCTGGAAATTACATTTTTTGTTTGCAGAGAGTAAAAATATTTTAGAAGAACTTAGTCTACTTTTGCGACAAAAGTTTTTCATCTCAGGACTGTCTTCAAATAGTCAGCACTCGATCTTACTTTTTTGATAATTTTTAACGTGCGATTTTTTCGGTTCAAATGAAACTTGTTTCAGAAAATATTTTCTTTTCTCTAAATGTAAATTTCACATAAATACATGCGATTAGAGTAATAATTCAGTTAGGTAAAAAGTTGCAATTTTTTAAATTACGACATTGTTCAATGAATGATTTATAAATGATCAATTTTCCACCCTGGAAATTATTTTTTTGGAATCATCAAAAATTGGTTTATATTCCAAATTTGGCCACAAATCAATTTCACGCCAAAAGAAGTTATATTTCTGAACCTTAAAAGAATTTTAATTATTCATTTATGAAGATGTAATGTTAAAAAAGTATTGAAGAAATGTTATTTGAATAACACTGAATATCCATGAATTTTTGCAAATTTTTCTCACGCGAGAGAAATTTCATGACAGAAAATATTCAAGTATTGGGTGTAACATCCAATTGTTGATGAATTTGCTATCCGCAGTGAATACTCTGGGGGACATGGTTAGTCGATATTCAACGAATGAAAAAAGAAATAGTAAGTTAGATTTTGAAATTCATTGTGAAGATAAAGCATAGCATTGAATTGAATTTTCATCATCACATCACGTCGAAATTTAAATTTCTATGAATTTTCATGATGTTGAATGACAATTCAATAACAAAGTCTATTAACATTTCATATAACATTGGTCGCTGAATAGCCTGGCTATACTAATCTCTAATTAGTATCTGAAAACTAATACATCTGTTTTTTTTATTAATTACTTGTATTTTGATTGAAATGGTTGAAAATTAATGTAAAAATCCATTCAATGATGTGGAGGACAAGTCAATGAATCTCTTCGGTTCCTCACACTTGAGATTTATCCTGAAAATTTCTCTTGATTTAAATTTTCGTTTCAGGTCAAATCCTTAAGGTATATCCGTAGAAAACAAGTTGTTTGTTTGATAATGTTTATAATATTCCTCAGCTATTGAAAAAATTTCTAGCAGCTGTACTACACAGTTTAGATGATAAATAATGAGATGCGGGCTTCTAGTACGTGAGCCATAGGCCAAACGTGAGTTATGGGTTCCCCAAACTTGATTTTTCCATCTCATAAGAAAACTGTTTTACTATGTTCTTAAAAAACGAATCCGTGGTAGATTGATAAATTCTGAAAGCGGTGAATTTTTGTAAAATTTTATAATACATAGTTTCTGCGATATTCAACTCTAAGAAATGGAAATTTCGTGAAATCATTTCTTATTTGGTTCAAACAATCAATTAAAAAATAATTTTTTGATTGAAACAGTTATTGTTGCCTTCATCAATAACCTATGAGAATACAAAACTCAATAACTTATGAAAATGGAATAAATTGACTCATTCAGAATTATTTCTGGAAATCCACAGGGACTAACTTTTGGGCGGTATTGTTTTGGGATATTACCTTAAGGTATTATATCCCTAGAAACGGTTTTCTTCAGATTCTTCCCATGTTTTTCATAGATAATGTTTACAATATTCCTCAGTTATTGAAAAAATTTCCAGCTAGCTGTACTGTAGTTTAGAAGACGATAAATAATGAAATGTGGGCTTCTAGTACGCGAGGTATAGACCAAACGGGGGTCATGGGATCCTCCGAACTCAATTTTTCCATCTTGTAAGAAACCAGTTCTTACGATGTGAGAATAGAAAAACTCAGGAACTTATGAGAATGAGTGACACAATATCTGTGACACAATGGGTCTGACGATAACAAAAAAAAAAAGATAGAAAGAAGGAAAACTGATTATTCAGAAGAATGATAATAATGCTCGGAAATAATGAAAATAATGATAGTTGTTAATGCAATTCACGATAGCAAGGAATCGTCGTAGAATTGAATATTATCATGAAAAAATTCATAAAACGATAGGATTGCAGATGAAACTGAACAATCGCAAAAAAAAAAAGAAAAAGGCGTTATTTAGACAAAAAATTAAATTGAAGGAAACATAATAAAAATGGGTATAAGGCTCAGACTACAGTAGAATCGTCATAACCGCACGCATGACGGAATAGACGTTATCGTACTGGAAATCTAGAGGAAATATTCTGTTCATGGAACTAAAAAATCTCCAGAAAACTAATAAATTTTTTTTCATAAATATAGCCATTTAAGGTAGTATTCATTTGAGCCCTCAAGAATGATAATTTATATGTAAATATGGTACAAGTGTCCGAAACTTCTAGGGGAATGGGAGAAAAAGTGTCCGAAAATCTTATTGGATGCATGTTCCTTGGTATCAAAATAGAATTTCATTGTTTTAACGTTCTAATTCTTTATTTCAAGAGTTCATTCCCTAGAAAGCGTAGATAACGGAATATTCCTTCGAAAATAAGGCATTATTTCATTCAAAAAATAAGTTTCCAGATCGACGGAACGTGATGCATTCAAATGACTATTAAAATTCGATGATCGATTGGAGCCCTTATTAGATCGAATCATAACTCTTATGTTTGGAGCACTCAAAATCAACTATTGAAGGATACAGTTTAATAATGCAATCGACTGGAAGTGACGACATTTCCGTATCGCCAATGGCTTGTTTCATTGGCACCATTGAAAATCACCGAGCGTTTGATTCAAAAAATAATCCGTCCGTTTTGCAATATTTTTCTCTCAGTGTAGTGCCTCTCAGGATGAAAAAGGTCTGGGGGGGGGAAGCGAATTCTGAGAATTGAATATTCCATAAATAGTGAAATGAAAATTGTACTGATTATTTCATCTTTCAATAATATTACTCGTGTATACTCATGAGATCAATTTTCTTTTCTATTGATCGACATTTAATAAATGAAAAAATATGGTACAGTCGTCCAAAAGTTAGGGATTTTGACTCCATTCACCTATTTCTCAATCTAATTATTCTTTGTTTTGTTATTTTCACTTCAAATAATTGTTTTCTCCTAATCAAAACGTTCCAAAACGTATGAAAGTCATCATATCCCCATTTAGATGATTCTTTTATTTTATATCCTATCGTGAAACTCGAATTTCCCTTAACCGTCCAGCAATTCTCCTGTTCACCCAATAACGAAAATTAACTGCATTAGAAATGACAGTTTTATTCATTTACCTGATCTTCAGTAAGACTTTTCCAATGTGTTTTCCACTCGCCATGAACCTGAATCCCTCCTCAATCTGTTGCTCCGTGAAGACCCTCGAAGGTAGTGGTCTAACAGCTCCACTCTTGATCCCCTCAGAAACAAGTTTGACAACCTCTTGTTTATCCGCCGAATCACTATCGAACAGTGCATCAAGAAGGATTCCATGGAAACTCGTGTTCTTGAGGAAAACTGACATTCCAAGTGGTGAATTGTTGCTCAGATCGTATTTCCCAATCTCCAAGAATCTTCCATCTTTCGCGAGACACCTGACAGAGGCCTGCAGTTTCTCCTCAGCAAGAGAATTAAGTACCAAGTCAACTCCCCGTCCATTGGTCTCACGTAGGATCAGCTGCTCAAAACTGGTGTCCCTGGAGTTTCCGATATTTCTGTCTGTCAGCTGTGGGAAAGTCTTCTTCAGGAATTCTCGTTTCTCCTTGGAACCAACAGTGGTGAAGACCTTGCAGCCAGCGTGCAGACAGATGGAAATACTCGCTTGTCCAACACCTCCAGTACCAGCGTGAATGAGCACACTCTCACCAGGCCTCAGTTTCCCACGAACAAACAGAGCGTAGTAGCTCGTGGAATAGCAGACTGGTACAGTGGCAGCCTCCTCGAAGCTCCACTTCTCTGGAACCTCCCACATGAATCCAGGATCTGCGAGAACAGTGGTGGCCAATCCCCGTGCTGCCACCATTCCCATGACCCTCTTGCCCTTGCTGTCCCTTCCAGCAAACTCAAGACCAAGAATACAATCCTGCCCAGCTAAGTCTCCAGGCAAGGCATCAGGTGGTAGTTTACCAGTCGCCAACATGATGTCACGGAAGTTCAGGGGAGCATAGTAAACACTGCAAAGTTCAACATCTGGATACTTCTCTGGCTGGTAGTAGCTTAGAGGTCCCTCGATCCACCTCAGACTGCTGAGATCACCGCGAGTAAGAGCATTTATGTAAGCGTGCTCCACATGAAGGGAGGAGACGTCATTCTGTTGATCAAGACGAAGATGTCGATAGCTTCCCCACTGGTTGCCCTTGAGAACATTAGCCACCAGCTGCTTGTCCAATTGTTCAGAGTAGAATGAATTTGTCAGAGAGAACTTGGGTGCATTCTTGTCCTGAATGAAGACGTAACGCACGTTGTGGCCACCCTCCTCCCTTCTGATGCAAGTCATGAGACCAATGAGACCGAGTGTCTCCTCTCCCTGGGATACCAGTAAGACCTGTTGGCCCCCAACCGCTTGCTTCAGGGCTGCCTTCAATCCCTCCAACCACGAGAAATTCTTCTCTGTTATCTGAATGATTATTGCAGCCTCTGTCTCCTGTTTCTTCTTCAGCAGTAGATACATTTTTCCAGGTACAACTTGTGAAGCTGTCAACGTCAAACCAGCTTTTATCAGATGAGATTTCTGGGGTGTTCCTGTTTCCTCGAGGAGTAAAAAGCCACCAGGCTTGAGAGATGCCGCGAGATTGTGAAGTGCAGCTGAATCCCCGTTGCTCAAAATATCGGCTGCTATTGCGAGGTGAAGTTCTTGGCCAATAGGTGTGCTGGAGACGTCCTTGGCTGTGGCTTTAACGCCCCACTGATCCATCATTGATGCGTACATTTCTGGTGTAGCTGTGGCAAGCTGAAGTTCCACACTCAAACTTGGCTCTGATTGCAGAATGTCCAGGACCATTGGAGCCAGAAGAGACTCTACACTTCGTTCACCAGAGACCTCGACTCCCTTTATCTTCAAAAGCCCAAGATTCTGATTGACAATTTGAAGGAGAACTGTCAGAGCATGAAGACGTGCCTTCGTTGGGTCCTCCACGAGTACCTGGGTGTTGTCGTAAGGTACGAATGTGTAACGCTCCAGCTTGGGTGGTGCCTGGGACTGCTGCCTCCTCGGTGCCAATGACGCCTTCATTCCCCTCATCTCAACACCTCCAGATTTGATGACACCAATATCCACGTACGAGTCAACTTTGAAGCCCTCGTTTTCACCAAGGTTCTCAGCCATCTCCAGATGAGCTTTCGGGTTGATGACAGCGTACTGGAGTCTCGTAGGGAGGTACAGATCCCTGGTGTCCTTCCCCAAAATGCTAAACTGCAGCATGGTGTCCATGAACGAGACCCAGTTGTTGACCCAGGCCAGTTCCCCAGAGATTCCATGATTGTCGGATGACTTGACCCCCTGGAAAATTCCAGAGTAATCGTAGCCACGGAGTCTGAGGTCCTTGTAGATATCGTTTGACGTCAGTCTCAGAAGGTTCGGCTCATTTTTAGTAGGCGGTGGTGGCAGGTCCAATTGATCCCTCTCGATGTTCTCTGATTGTCGGATTTTACCAGTCACTGCTGGCGAACCACCCTCACATATCTCAAAGTCACCAGTGCCATCGAATATGTTGATGAGGAATCTGACAGTTCCATCCTTGGGCATTATCGTGGCTCTGTGGAACTGGACGCCCTCCAGAATTATGGGAGTCTTCTCGAAGTCGAGGCCATGGATTTTGGCATAAGTCTTCCAGACAAGGAACAAGTACCCGGTTGCTGGGAACAACACTCTTCCGTCGATTGTGTGACCAGCGTAGTGAGCGTGCTCCTCCTTGGACAAATCAATCTCTACAACTGCTTCTCCTGATCCACCAGACTTGCCAGAGAAATTGGCAACATCCCAAGGTGTTGAGTGATCCCAACCGACCAATGAATTTATCATTGGTGTGCCTCTACCAACTGGATAACTCACAGGTGGATAAAGTTTGCTGAATATGGGCTGACCTCCGGCATTGTATATCTTTCCCAAACTCGTCAGGAACAATTCCAGATTTTTACCGTGATCCTTCTTGTGAAGACCAACTGGTGTTGCAGTTGGTAGAGATCTCCTCAAGATCGCTTGGAGGAGACAGTGGGGTGCAATCTCGATGACGACAGCCTCATTGGGAACGTGTTTCAAAGCCTCTTGGAAGAGAACTGGTGACAGTAAATTATTAACATGGTAAGCAGCTGAGCTGTACTGTGCGAGAGGTGTGCCCCAAGCTGCTTCAGGAATGGACGAGGAAATCCACTTCGAGGATCTTGGCTTGGGATTGGTAATCAGCTTCTCGAGGACAGTTCGCAGAATGGGCCCAACTGACGCAATGTACCTGCTGTGGAAGGCAACCCCAGAGCTGTTGACAGTTCTAGCGAAGATCTCCTCTTTCTTCAATTGTTCGACGAACTTATTGATGGATTCAACGGGCCCAGATACGGTGACCGAGTCACTGGAGTTGTGGCAAGCTGGTGATATATCGGGAGGGCATCTCTTAGTGGCCTCTTCCCAGCTGAGACCGACAGCAGCCATGGCTCCAGGTGGCAACTTGGACTCGTCGATACTCTTTCCTCTCCAGTAGGCAGCGAGAACAGTCTGCTCTGGGGTGAATGTACCATCGGCGTAGGCGCAACCAAGCTCCCCCACCGAGTGTCCCACAATTCCATCAGGAGTTATTCCCAACATTGCTAGAACATCGACAAGAGCAACCTGAATGGCAGCGATTGAGACAAAGCTGTGGAGAACATTCTCGAAGGTTTTGTCCGTTCCATTGAGAATCAGATCAAACAGATCAATTCCAACAGGCTTCAGTGCCTCAGCACATCTCCTCAAACTCGTCTGGAACGTCTCAATGGGAAGTAACTCCCTTCCCATCCCAGCCCACTGCGTTCCCATACCCGAGAACACAAACCAAATGGGCTTTGGAGTCGCTAAATTCACCTGAGTGACCTCTCGAACATTGGCATCTCCCAGAATCTGAAAGCCTCGATATGAATGTCCCGTAATATTCTTATTGTGAAGACCGTGAATCAGAGCAATAAACTCATCGTCCTTCGAGTGCTCCTGCGCTTTATCCAAGAAGCGATTGACACCGTCAGGAGTTCTGGCTGATACACCAACGATCTTGGGAATTGGTACATTGAGAACAGGCAGTGCTTTGGGTTTTGGATTGCTTCTGAGAATAACATGAGCATTGGCACCACCAAAGCCAAAAGAATTAACAGCAACGAGTCCACCACTCCAGGGCATGGGTTTATCAACAACACGGATTCGTCCATCAATCAACGCTGTGAGATCTGGATTTGGATCCTTGAAGTGAAGATTTGGGGGAATAATACCCGACTCCATGGCAATGAGTACTTTGACGATCGATGCTACACCACTGGCAGGCTCAGCATGGCCCATATTAGATTTAACTGATCCGATGAGAAGGGGAGCTGTTCTGTTCTTGCAGAAGAGTTCAGCTATCGAGTTCACCTCCTGTGGATCACCGACTTTGGTGCCTGTACCGTGTGCCTCAACGTAGACAACATCAGCTGGATCAACACCAGATTCTTGGTAAACTTCACGCATGAGTTTATTCTGCATATCTCCAGATGGATAGGTGATACCCATTACTTTCCACCCGTCGACGTTAGTTTTAGAGTGGACAACGGTTGCGTATACACGTCGAGCATCACGAGACTTCTGTAGGTATATGACACCAACGGTCTCAGAACGGACGTAACCACTGCCTGAGGCGTCGAATGCTCTGCAAGTACCGTCCTTGGAGAGCATGCTAAGATGATGGAATTGTAGTGATGTTGTTGGCATGAGAACGAGATTGCAACCACCAACTATGGCAGCATCACACTGGCCTGATCGCATTGCTAATATGGCTTGCTGCATTGCAAAGAGGGAGGATGAGCAGGCTGTGTCCACTGCAAATGATGGACCCGTGAAGTTATATGTGTAGGAGATTCTATTCGGAAACATGGCACGGCAACATCCGGTGAGTGCGTAGCCAGTGACTTTTTCTGGATCAGCATTCCAGTGTTGTTGACTCTCTGATTCTGATACACCAATGAAGACACCAGTCTTGGAGCCCCTGATATCAACTGGATTGATACCAGCGTCGATAATAGCTTCGTGGGTTAACTCGAGCAGTAGTCTCAACTGTGGGTCCATGACGTTTGCTTGTTTTGCATGGACACCGAAAAATTGTGCATCGAATGATGATAGATCCTTTATTTTGCCATTGCGCGCTGGCAAACCGTGGAGATTGCGTGCCCAACGACGCTCGTCGTCGGTCACCATGTCGATGCCCTCGAAGAGATTTCGTTTGAACTCTTCGATATTCTCGGACTCGGGGAAGCGACCAGAAACTCCACTGATGACGATGTCATCGTCGGATGAGAGGGGCACTCCGTTTGTCATGGCTGATGGCTCGCGCACCATTGGATTGTTCATGGCTTCGAAACGAGCTGGCATTGTTGTTCCTGTTTAGTGGATTTCAATGTTTGCGCGGTCTTTGGGGATTTATCAGACGTGGTAGCTCCGTGGACAAGAAGCTGAAATGGAGAAATATCATCATTAATTAGGATTCTCAGCAGGGTGTCTCATGAAAATTTTATTCACGTTCAGGGTGCAGGAAAGTTTCTCCGATGGCGAAATTCTCCGGCGGCAAAAATCGCCGAAATTTAATATAGTCAAGATGTAGTCAAGTGGATGTACAGCCTTTCTAGCGAAAGAGTGAGTAACTTAATGTTTGAAGCTCAAACGTTTTGGTAAACATTTTTCAAACACTTTGGAATCCATTTTGAAGACATTTTTCAGACATTAGAAAGTGTCTGAATCAATCAAAAATAGTTTACTTCCAGACACCTTCGTTTAAAAACAAGATGCGTCAAATAATTTCCGATGGACGCGGTGGCAACAAGTGGGATTCGTACGAATACAACTAAAATTTTCACATAAATTTTGAAAAATAGAGCAAGTGGAAAAATCTCCCCGCAGGGGGACGATTTTGCAAAGTTTTCGGGAGAAAACAAAAATTTCGGGGAAAAACGGCACGGGAATCAATCAAGTGATGAGAAGAAATATTCTTTTGCTAGAAGGACTATACATCTACTTGACTATCCCAAATTTCGGAGATTTTTGCCATCAGAGAAATCTGCCTACACCCCACGTTCAAATCGGCTTTTAGATGACATTCTGGGATGTTCCAAAATATTGTCGAAACACCTAGGCACTCTCTAAAACGAATTCACATAATTTAAGACGCGAACTACAATTGTGGATACGAAAGCCAAGATATTGACCACATTCTGTGGCACTGTCCCACGTTTAGCAAAGAAAGGACAACAGTCATTAGAGAATTGAAACAATTTAAAGTTCCACTCACAAACTCAATCACCCCCTTATTGAATACAACAGATGCAAAAATCCTTAAAGTGCTCCACAAATTGATCATAAATAGTCGATTAAATAGCTAAAATGAATTATTGTAAAAAGTGTAAATATTTAGATTAAGTTAATAGAACATAACTGATAGTGTAAATAAATTTTGTAGATTTAAGCACTTTAAATCTACATTCTGTAAAGAATGTCGTAAGCTCAGGAATTGATCAAGAAGATTTCAGAGTTTTCTAGAGATTTAGAATCATTTGGGATACGTTATAAAGAATTATCAGGGCTTAGAGAATTCCAGAACTTTCTAGATGATTCCCGAATTTTCCACAAGATTTTGCACAGGTCCGAATCTTCCAGCCTAGACCCTTCGAAATCTTTCTAGACAATTTCACAATTTTTCGGAGGAACGGACATCTCAAATTATTTAAAGTTTGATTCTCATTGAAGGGTCACCTCAGTAATCTATACTTGTGAAAAACATTGGACATAGAATTTGAATCTTCTGTTGTTGGGTGACATAAAAGATCGATTAAAATTTCCAGGACTTCGACCGCTCCAAATTTGAGATATGCATTGCCGAAAATTGGCAGAACGAAATTTTTCAACTCTCGTCGATGCATATCTCGAAAGTGAAGAGGTCAACGTCCTTGAAATTCTTGGGGTATTGTTTTTCAATTGACGATGACGAAAATCTTTTATAAAATTGTTTACGTATTTCAAACAATATTTTCTAATGAATTTCCTGTAAAAAACTGCATCTCATAATGCAAATGTGAAGAAGGGCATCTTTTTGAATATTTGATGTACGAATGGAATAAAAAAGTAAAATGTTACATGAGCCACATGAGAAAAAGTTGTTCTTCATTATAAGGATCACAACCTCGGCTTGTAAACCTCACATTTGTCAGCTGCTTTTTTTACATTTCTGATATACTATTTGCGTACTTCTTGCGGAAAACTTAATAATTCTTGAGTATAAGTCATCACGTTGAATTCAATGTAGTATAACTGAGAATTTATTCACAAAAAATATTGCCATTTATCGGGACAGCAAGAAAAATGAAGGCTACAAAAAATTGTGATTATAAATCTGTTAAAGACATATTTTTATCCTATTTCAATGACACTGACTTTATTTTGATCCATGTAATATCGCCTGATGGGTGATCCGACAACTTTCCCATTTTTTTAAAATTCAACATTACTGGACCGATAAACTTTTTAAATGATAATTTAACATTAATATCATTTATTTGTTTGAACGAATAATTTAACATTAGCACACATTTTCACATTTTCATTGTTATATGCATATGTTGTGGATTTAAAAAACATTATGACATTTTTCACATCAATTGACTGAACATTGTTATTCACAAGTTGAGGTTTTTCGTAGTGACACAAGGGATTGTGATGTCTCTGAGATGCTGCCAAAACATTTTGATCAACATTAGTAAACAATTACTCGAGATATCATCGATTGTCAATTTTTTCAGCAAAATAACTGCGTTCAGTCAACAAGAACTAAACTTTAACTTTTCATCGTTTCGCTACTGAATTCTGTAAATTTTTTCTATGAAATAGTTTCTATTCAACATTTCCTACAAAAAAGGGCAATGAAACTGCAAATTTGTTCAATCGAATCGGCGCAAAACTGACAGGAATTCCAAAAAAAAGTTCCATAGAAATGCAGTCGATTTTTCTAGCGAATTCACTAGATTTTTTCACGAAATTTTTTCGCGTGTGTTGTTACATAGACAACCAACTCAAAAATAAGCTTTCTAGGCATAACCAATTTTAATGGCGAGACTATCTCCCTCGGATATGCTCAATATTATAATAGATTATCTCTGCCTAATCACACTGATAACAATTAACTATCAATATTAACTTTTATCAACATTGCAACATGTTGCGGAGGAAAAAATGAAAAGGGAAAATTATATGGTAATCGTATGAGCACAACAGCCGAGGCGAGATGTTATCATCCGTGAACTTGAATGCTAGTGCTCAATGAAGTAACAAAAATGGAAAGAATGTGATAGTTTATCTACGATTGCGTCACTCGTATTATTCACCATTATTATCTTCTCGCATTGCAAGACTTCACTCGATAATCAGTTTCAATGATAACTCGCGATTCATGGAAGGAATTCTCATTGATCGAATTTGTTCACCTTTTCCACGTTGAGCGAGGGCTTGTGAACAACTGTATGGTTTCCCTCTGACTGCAATAGTGTAAGCAATAAAAATTGCTGACATTATCGGATTGCAGGCGTCCCCGGACGACGATATGCGCGGACGAAAGACTCATTTTTGTGTTGGTAAATAAAAATACTCGAGTTTGAGGATATTTTATTAATGGAGATAGGGAAATGACTCTATGAATCTTATCGAGTAGAGTCAGGAAGACTATTGGTCACCGTCTTTTCCGGAATCGTTATTTCTTTACACACGCACTGATAGAAAATTACTCGTCTAATTTCATGTAAATAATCTTTGAAATAGTCAACAAGTGGTTTGTATGAAATTTCAATCTTTTTTTTTGTTGGAAAATTAATTTTAATATCGACTTGACGTGATGATGAGAATTGGGATGTAACTGCGTCAGGGATCGCCATAATAATAAAATAATATAATGATAATAATCTGATTTTTTACGAATAATGATGTATTTAAAATTTGTTATAATATAAAACTGTAAATTTACTACTAAATGAATAATTCAAATTTCTTGAAAGGGGATTGTCGATTACACAAATAATCATCAATCTTCCTACCTCAATTATTGATTGATAAAATAGTTGAAAATTTGAGTATTTTAATTGGTGATACTCAAGTACTCAAAAAATTTCAAGAGTGATGTTATCTAATTGATGGCTACAATATTTAACGGTAATAAAATATTACAAATTGGGCTATCCCTGAACTGCATTATTATGGAGAATTCGATTTAGAGAAAAAAATCGTAACACTTCAAATTACGTTGAAATTCCAAATAATTGAGAAATTCAGGAATACATTTACCTGATTTCTGTAAATTTTCATAAACGAAAATTTGCAGTTTCTATTGATTGTTTCATCAAATTGTGAATTTTTATATTTTTATGAATTATATTCTTAGACATGTAACTGCATTGTAAGAAATAAATTGGAATTCCATGGACAGTTTAGTAGTAATTTTCAAGACAGCCACATTAAATACGATGTAGAAGGAATCATGGAATTTGAAATTTCTCTGACGAATTCCTTAATTCCTATTTCGGTCAATCAGAGTGCAGAGTACATTTTCCTAATTTCTATCAATTTCAATAGAACAATCAAATTGAAATTCACAGTTTCAGTGAAATTGTCATGTGTCAATTAAATATCAGTAGTATTCTAACAATGCACAAGGTGTCCAACCGTCGCAGCCAGTAAACACGAGCAACATCAGCTAATAAAAACCAAAGTACATTCAACGAATCAGGAAAAAATAGCCCACACACCCAACTTAAAAATTTCCCTTGGTCTATTTTTCCTTTCTCTTGGTCTATTCTTTTCGGGATTCCATTTTTACAGGGACTAATTGAATTAACGATAAAAGTAGAATTCTTTAGTCTGACATTGATTATGTGTCATCAATAGTGTCTGAATTTTATTTATAAAAAACTCAATCTCTCTGTCAGTGCCGTACTTCATCGAGTTGAAAAAAATTGTTCACACAAACACGTAAGAACTATGGAATAACTCCGAACGTCACGGTGCCTAGAGAATGACAATTATCAGAAATCGCGCACCCACGTGAATCAAGACAATATTCTTGCGCACAGAAACACTGACATTAGCTATCTACCAGCTATATTGACCTGAATAATTTTTTGTAGGAAGTTGCAGCGCCAATGACAAGGTCAAGTTCAACGAACAACTGAGCAGTTGCTCGCTAGTGCATGCGAAATCGACTTCCTTCGAATTATCATACTAGTGCAACTGTAATGCAGTACGTTATGTATTAGTGCAGTCTGTTTCCCCTTCTTATTCATAATTTTCCATTTTTTTTAACGATTATTCTACGACATTGATTCGCTTGGAGAAGTAAGAACGACTGTGAAGTAGAAATTTGAAAAAAAAAAATGGAAATACTGAGGATTCTTGAGAATATTGTCATCTAGTCCTACGT